TATTCACCGCGAGCGCCGTCGTAGCTGGTCAGTCGTTTAAATGTGTTTTGCTGAATAAAGACCAGTTGCTTTTCCTTCCTGGAAACACAAAACTGCTTAACAGAATATTTTTGTATTTCTAGGCATTTTATTTTATGAAGAATTTTATGGTTTATCTTTGATATACATCATCATGTTTGTGATCGGGTGAGCATTTCTCAAAGATTAATATAATTTAGAACAATATTTGCCTGTGTGTTTGCGGTTTAAGATGTGTGTGTGTCACTCAGGTGTCTGCTGGCGTTTACTGGAGTGTTTCTAATCGCGAGAGCTCGTCCCAGAATCAAGATGGACCGCGTGTTCATTTCAATGGGCCAGATTCCAGGTATCCCGATAACTCCTGACAGCGGCCCAGCGATCGAGCCGTCAAACGCTCAGGATATAATGGGACTGTGTTTGTGTATTTCAGGCAAAAGCTGTACGGATAAAGTGCAGCCGCAATCAGACGACAGTAAATATGGAAAACTGGCGTCTAAACTCACGTGTAACAGCGGGATTCAGGACGAGCCGTAGACGGAGTGCCCCCTGCAGGAGGAACAGAGAACCACACTAACACTCGTGTGTGTGTGTGTGTGTGTGTGTGTGTGTGTCAGGAAAGAGCTTTAATTTGCTCCAATTATTAATCTACTGGAAGATGCAGGAGCAGAAAGTAAAACACTGATGCTGGGTTAATAATACAGAAAAATACACAATCTGCACAGACTGATGCAGCAGCGTGAGATACAGAGTTTGAAACTCAGTATTTAAACTAAATAAAAATGAGTAAATCAAATATCCCTCTCAAATTCCATAAAAAAAGACACAAATTTCAACAAGATGAAGGGCTTCTCTCAATATATATATATATATATATATATAAAAAAACACCTGAAAAGTTTTAGCACATGCTCTCCTGTATATTGAGTCTGTGAGGTGCGACACGCATCGGTCTGTGATCAAACAGCAGCCTAATGAGAACAGAAGTCACGCTGAGCACAGACTGCTTCACACGTCGCTGCTGATGCTCCAGCTGCAGCCAGAGAGAAGTCTCCCAGCGTCAGCCGGCTGCAGTGGGGCAGAACGCGGGGCACGCTCCTCACATCGCCCCGTTTGAGCTGCTCTCTGAGCCCAGGATCCTGCGGCCCACTGCTGTGTGCGTCCTGAAGCAGCCGCTGGAGGTCAGAGGTCGTCGGGACACACACCATCGCATGCAGCGCCGGCTGGCCTTTGCTCAACAGATGCAGACGCACCCACACCAGACTCCACCCACATTCCCGCCATAGCTCCGCAGCCGCCACAGGGGTCAAAGGTGAGGAGCGCCGACAGCGCCTTCAGACTCCTGCAGACACAGAGACGATCGTGTGACACAGCGATCGATCGTCTCTGTGAGTGGTGTAGCATGTGACTGACCTCAGAACAGTGAAGGGTCCAGTTCTGCAGCCGCTAGCCGTCTCTGTGCTCACTAGCTCCTCCCACTCCTCCGTCAGCTGTTGCCAGGGGCAACGGAACGGCTCCAAGCAGCCGTGTTTGATGTAGTTGGTGCGTTTGGATGGAGGACGTCTGAAAGCAGCGAAGTGATTTTCTATTTCATCATGACAGAGACATAAAACGTAAGATTTCTTCAGCACAGCACTCACCTTTTGAACTTTTCTAGAAGCTCCGCCTCCTGCTCTGATTGGAAGCGCTGTCCTGCAGGGCTGTCTGGGTAATCGTGAGGGAAGTGAGGCTGCCCCATAAACGGGGAGTGTTTGACACTCATGTGGAGGCCAACAACACCTACAAAACACACCCCTTGTCCAAATACCCACACTTGCGGTCTTGGCCACTTGAGAGCGCGTGCGCGCGACAGGAAGTAAGTGTGCAAGTCTGTCCCATGTCTTCAAAATGCCAAAGTGCAGTGCCCTTAATGGATACTAAATCCACACTATCTCGAATACCACTCCAGAGCGCTATTCAAGGCTAAGTGTATCCCATCATGCATCATGTTCTGGAAATAAATCGTGAGACTTTTTGCCGAGATCTCGCGAGAGGTCACGGAAACCTTTCCAATGTAAGTTAAATATTAATATAATAATTAGATATTACAAATAATTTGGTAGAAAAACAGTGTTTTTACTTTTATTGGTGCAAAGATGAGTTGTGGTGATATTTATTTTGTACAACATTTGCAACTGCAACTTTTTATCATTTAATTAGAAGCACCACAAATTAAAATGATGTCATGTTATAGGGACTACTGAACAGACTTTAGAAGTTGATTTTAAAATGCAAAGTATTTCAAATTAAAATAAATTAAAGCTGTGTAAACACTTGCATTTTTACAACACTATAAGTGTGTCCCATCAGGTAATGAAAAGTTCGACACACACTTGTGGTCTTCACACCCACTTGAAGACTTCGGCCAAATACAGGAAATACGTCATTTAAGTAATCAAGTGGTCGGTCAAGTGCAAAGACTGCAAGTGTGGGTATTTGGACAAAGCCACACTTATGAGCGTCTGATGTATGAAGTGAAGTAACGGAGCGCAAGGCGGCAGAAACATCTATCCGTGAGGTTCCTGGAGAAATACAAGGTTAATTACGCGTCGCCTGTGACTCCAGTGAAGGTGCATCTTGTTTTCAGAGTGACTGATGTGGAAAGCTTTGAAACACAGATGTGATTAGTTCTGTATGTCAGTAACTAACAGCAGCGTTATTCTGCAGTGGAAGCTCTTGAGTGTCATCTCAACCCACTGATCAGTCCATCTCAAACGGTCCAGTGAGGCTGCTTGACCAATTTTTAAGCTTCCTCTTTTTTTTGTGATTACGTCTATGTATTGGTTTTACAAAATCATTTTTAAATGTAATTTTTCAAGGCTCCTGCTTGAAAACCAAGTCATTCATAAATATAATTAATGTAAAATACTGTTTGCTATGCTTAAATAACATATGTTCATTTTTCAAATACAAATAAAGCAGGCTTATCTCTCTGATTTCTACTAGTTGTGTAACCAGTAGTATCTCAAACTCAACATTTTTACAGCAGGTTTATATATTCCTATCCAGTGCTAGGGTTGTGACGGTGAGGAAATTTTCCCACCGGTTAATTGACGTGTGACAACACCAGTAATACCGGTATCACTGCGGGGGCGTTCCCTCTTTTCCTCGCTTTCCTTCCCTTTTAAATAGCTTGTAAAAGCTGCATGTGCATTTTACTTTCACTTTCAAATAGCGGCAATTCGGAGTAAAGCAATTGTTCGTTTTTAGTTCGTTTGAATTTTCCCTCTTTTCCTCGCTTTCCATCGCTTTTAAATAGGTTAAAAGCGCCGTGCTCATTTTACTTTCACTTTTGAATTAGCGGCAGTTCGCCGTCAATTGCTTGAATGCAACAACAAAATACAACGTCAAACTCACTTTAGCGTATATATAAAACATAGAACTTTTATTAACAAAACAAATAAAAATACACCATGCTATACACACACAGAGACACACACACACACACACACACACACACACACACACTCTGAGCGTGAAAACAATCACAGTGTGAACAGTCCTGATGTGTTTGACTCTGGTGTATTGAGACAGTGCTGTGTGTGTGAGAAGAGACAGAGTCTCAGGCCCTGCCAGGATTCGAACCTGGCTCATCTGCATGGAGACGCAGCATCTCCCTGAGCTCAGGGTCAAACACACACACACACACACACTCCTGCGTGACGCAGCGGATTCATGTGTACCTGCGCTCTGCTGCAGGTCAGGTACAGATTTACCACGTTTCTGAGATAAAGTGAGTCTGGGATCATCTACAGTCAGTCCCAACACACTGGGAGCTCTGCTGTCGAACACACTCCTGTAAAACACACACACACACACACACACACTGAGTTATTCAAACAAAGACACACCACAAGACATCTTCTGTCTCCACATAAAGCAGCACTGGTGTCATCAGTAGGAGGAATATGTCTGTCTGCTGCTGATGGACGCTCACACCGGCCTCATCTGCGCTGCGATTGGACGCCTCCGTCTCCTACAGACACCAGAGTGAATCATCAGCGCACCAATGACAGCGCGAGCGTGATGTCATCAGCAGTCTCTCACCTCACTGGCTGGATGGAGTGTGTCTGTGAGCACCGTGTGGGCCAGCGGACCAATCAGACGATAGCGCACGATCTCCATGGTCAGGTCACTACACAGGATATAAGGAAAGATCACATTTCACAGCTATACCTAACCCTGAGCAAACACATGCTTTACAGTAACATCTGATCATTGGAGCTAATTCAGCACATACAGCATCACAACTCAAAACACAAGAGACATCAGTGCAGGACCAAAACGGCCAGTGCAGTGCTGAGAAACACTGCTGCTTTAGATGACTAATGATGAGGACGTGCACTGACGCGAAGCAGGTCAGTGTGTTTATGGCACCTGACGGTGATGGCCGTGTCAGGGGACCTCGTCCCGTCCACCAAGAGCCTTTTGGAGGGTTGCTCAGCGTCTCCTTCGTCTCTCTTCCTCTCTGAAGACGGCTCCACGGCGGGACGAGACTCCTCCGAGACGGACACGACACACCAGCTGCAGCTCCGACAGCATGTCCTGCCACACACACACACGCCCATTATACATACAAATATATATATATATATAACAAATTTCATTACGACAAAATACAAGCTATAAACAACATCCAGTGGCATCACATGAGAAACCACACGCTTGTAACATGTTGGTCGAGCATTTGCATCTGAGTCTGTTTCTGGCCTCAGTGTTTGACCTGTTTAAGGGCCGTTTGGATCCAGATCCACAGCTGTCTGTCTGAGGCGTCAGGGACCCGGGGCCTCCACAGGAAGTCAGCAGGACCCAGAGAGCCTTGAGGAAACTGATCCGCTTTGTACAGATGAACGCTGCCCTGACGAGCACCTGAGAGACACGACGCCGCTGCGAATGTGGTCTGTTTTTCATCTGTCTGCTGTTCTTCTGCGGTCTGTTTTTCATCAGACATGCTGATGGCAGTGCATTTAAACAAATAACAAATTCTGACTGCTCCATCTCTGATGATTGTGCCAATGTAGTTTACAATCAGTGATTAAAAAACACACACACACTTTCAATTAAATATAATATTTTTGTTTGATATTGGCAGCTGTTTGGTGATATATTACATGTTAAAATGTATTTTTTGGACCAATTTTAAAGTTTTATTAAATTTTTGTTCCTGAAATCCACTGTTCTGCTGGGATCAGAATAATCCTGTTTTTTTAATCAACAGTATCCCAATCTTACTAAAACACTTTGAACAACACAAACTGAGGATTTAATCCAGATCAAAACCAAGATTGGATTTTGTGATCTAATCTGAATTCAGAATCCTTTTTTTGTTTTGAACAACCCATTTTCAAGATTTGATCCAATCCGATCAGATTACTTTTGCACAACTGGCCCCTGGGGTTTAACCGCAATGGTATGAAGCTACAACAATAGATTTAGTGTGGAAAGAACACTAAAATAATGGCTTTAATGAATAATTTGTTCTCTTCCAGGTCAGTTACGAGAGCACTCGTGAGGAGGAGTATTAATGACCGATCCTGTGATGGATGCGAGCCTGTGTCGTGTGTTCAGTCAGCTTCTGCTGGACTCCGGTGGGTTTCTCAGCACCAGGCTCAGCAGTCTCTTGGTGCTGGGGCTCAGGGCTCGTCTGCGCATGTGCTTCGGCAGAGCGGTGGAGGTGTGGCAGCTGCCTGCAGGGTTACTGACGGCCTTCAGCACAGCGTTCACTTCAGCGGCGCGCGCTTTAGCGAAGGACGAGGCTGCAGGGAGGAAGGAACTTCAAACACTTCGCTTCATTAGGGTTAGTTCACAAAAATGATTTACATTTTGCACTATATTCATTTATGCTACACATTTCATCAGTTCTTGTATTTGCCGCTGCAAGCCTTTCTTTCTTCCACAGAACATAACAGAATCACGCAGATCTTTCCCACACAGCTCAACAGGATCAGACTGAATTTCAGCTCGTTGTTCTCGATGTTCCACCGTTTTCAGATCGCATTAACGTCTGAGTGCAGTCAAATATGTGTGTCATAATTAGCTTGACATCAACTATGCAAACAACATTCTGGTTCAGGTGTGTCTCAAAACTGAACATCACACACAAGCCAGAATTTTTTTTTGTCATTTTGTGGTGTTTGACAAACTCTGGTCACTGCTAAACATCTCATCACAGAGTTTTTCTTTTTTTTTATTGAACTATTCTTTAGTTATGAATGTTACCTGTGATGTATTTGGGCAGATCTTGACTGTAACTGTGACCCCCAGGCTGATGACCTCTGACCCAGCCGCATGCCTGTGACCCCTGACCTCTCCCGGTACCGCGACCTGTGGACGATGAGCATTCAATCAATAACACAAACGATATGTGATCAAATACAACGATATGTGCTGAATGAAGCCTTTATCAGCACTGGTCACCTGAGCTCGTGTAAATGACGTTTCTCGGCTGATTCTTCATCTTTTTTTCTCTCATTCTGTCTTTTGCTCCAGTCATCTGAAACAGTTTCACTGGAATCAACTGCAGTGACTCCACCATATGTACATTACAGGCCATAGCATAGAGAAATGATTACACACACACACACACACACACACACACACACACTAGAGAGGGAGAGACATGTACAGCACAGAACAACAATTTACACATATAGTGTGCAGAACAAGCTCTACACACACACACACACACACACACACTAATCACATGGAGCTACACAAAAGGTGAAATATTGATCTATTTTCCTCTCCAGCGTGTATGCTAGTGTACTGTATGCTAGTGTACTGTGTGCTAGTCTACTGTGTGCTAGTCTACTGTGTGCTAGTGTACCTTATGTTGTTAGTGTAGTGCACCATATACTAGTCTAGTATACTGCAGATTTTGTCATGCAAATACAGCTGACTCTGTATTCTTCCTTATTTTACAGTCACTTTGGATAAAGGTTTGATTTAAATCAGTGTCAAGTATAAAGAGTGCTGTCGTCACAATCTTCACACAACATGAATGTCGTAAAATCAGACTTCATTCAAAAAGGTAAAAAAAGGTAAACCTGTCATTAACATCTATTAACATGACCACAAATGAAATGAGGAACTGGGAGTGAAATCATACTGTTTACCTTAAATCGTTGCTGTATTCTAGTAATGGGACGGATGATACCGAGGCTCCGACGCAGTTTTCAAAGCACTATTGTATCACACACTGCCGATGCTTGTATCGACATGACAACACCACGTGATTGATGACGTTTGAAGCTTCGAACCTCATGCCGTATCCGAAGATCGGGACAGCTGGTCTGAAAAAACTGGTGCTTCACGATCCCACCTGATGCATAACAGCATTATTCAGTCACTTTGAGGGCTGTCAGTAGGACATTTAATCCTGTTTATAACTGGGGTCTCAGAGATCCCGAGCACAACATAAGGGTATACAAAATATTTTTTTTTCAGCTACCCACGTCAATTATTAATTATGATCACGTTTGTGTATTTTATATTATTGATCGATATGTGAATCCGTTGACCAAGCTATACATGACACGAGTTGTGGTCTCATTGGCACAAATTAATTTAGATGAGATTATATCAGATTGATCCCAGACTGTTTGCACTCTTGAATGTCAGACTTCCGAAACTTTTGGTCACGTGCTTTTCAAACCATCCACTGCTCCGCGAGGATGTCAGAAATGGTGGAGAAAACAAAGTCCGACCAGCAGATGTCGCTAATGCACACTGTGTTAAAAGCTTCGAGGAATGAACCGTTTTTCGGCACAATTTCATGAAAGCCTCAAACGCTTCAGAAAGCCTCAGTTTCCCATCACTTCTGTTTTCTGCCTATAGACCCGTGATGTTTTTGGTCGTGACAGTGATCTCACCGCAGATGTTTGCTTCTATTTCATTCTGCTCCCTGATCTTACCAGCGAAACAACACTCGCCTCGAAACTCAGTTAATCGGCTAAATGAACCTGGTCGGGTTAATTTGCTCTCAACACTTCGTACGGAAGTCTCCTGCGGCTCACGCTCTCACTGACAGCACACGTGCTCAGCCTGCGCTGATTTCCGGTTTAAAGGATGATGGGAAATGTAGTTCTTCAGCACTAACTAATCACTAATCGGTTGTTGAAATCATATACATAATGCAAAATGAATAAAAATAAACACTTAATATGAGAGACAAATGAAGGTATAGAGGAATTTTACAGCAGTTTCTTTGAAATCTTTGCTGGACTTGAGAAATCCATCTTACACTATGAAAACCTCCAGCAGAAGGCTATGTCATTAACAGCATTTCTCTTTTTTAATTGAGACAGCCATTCTTAATAATCAAGAGGCTATTATAATAATTATACTTATTAGTTTTTTAACTTATATGCAAGCATTTGTGCACTGAGTCTGCAATATATCGCACTATATCTGAGCATTTCCCCTCTAGTTACAGTTTAACGAGCAGAAGTGTAAATGTATGTAATAACTTACTATAATAAAATATTTACCTACTATTTTAATTCTTTAATATTTATTTTAATTCTAGGCCTATTGGGATTTGCCAGCAATATAATTTAGTTGTTTCCTCCAGATGCAGCAGATTCCTTTAAAATCCAAACACATGCAGCACGGATGAACTGCAGAAACTACATTGCCTCTAGGAGTGTGTGTGTGTGTGTGTGTGTGTGTGTGTGAGGTGTGTGTGTGTGTGAGAGAGTGTGTGTGTGTGTGTGAGAGAGAGTCTGTGTGTGTGAGAGAGAGTGTGTGTGTGTGCGTGTGTTTGAGTGTTTGTGTGTGTGTGTGCGAGTGAAGGTGTGTGTGTGTGTGTGTGATACAGTCGAGTCGACTAAGTTCTGTGTGGCTCTCACTGGTTTTACTGTGAGATCAGCTGCAATGTTCTCCAGTATTTAAGACCCCAGACAACCACACGCTGATTATAAAAGAGAAATCACTACAAAATGATTTTATTAGTAATGGTAACTGTATTTATTCTGTGCACATATAAATGTAAAAAAGACATACAGGAGATGTGCAGAGATCATGTCAGTTCATTAAAAGCTTGGTTGGTTTTTTACAAAGAGCTCAACTTTCATGTCTTCACACTGATATGATTTGCTGAGTAACTGCTTTCCTTCCAGTGTCACAGATCATCAGATGAGGTTTATTAGTGCTCTGGAATCACCACAAACTATACTAAAATAACCCAACAACATACACTACTGATTAATATACTACCGTTTGCCTGTCTGTCATTGATTAATGCAAGTAAAGAGTCAAACTGCTTTGCATCTGCAGTCTGAGGAGCAACATGCACTAAATACATAAGAGACGAAGCCCTTCGGTCTCATTAAAAGACACATTATTAAGCATAATTTGGTTGATTCACAGTTATTAGAGCTTTGGCTCATGTTTGTTCAGGTGAGTTAATATTGCTGTTGTGTTTGACTCAGTTGGAGATTAGGACATGATGCTGTGATTTCGTCCCACGCTCGGCCGGACACCCACGGGACCCGCGCTCTCAGAGGCATTTCTGTGGCTTTTAACAACAATTCTAATGATGCTAACGCTACTTAGATACACTAATTTATGTACAAACCCTCACGTCTCTGAGATAAAAGGCACGTCTCACAGCGTCACACTGACATCAATCTTCAGGTTCTGTGGATTTCAGCAGATCAGCTCCATCTTCACCGACTACGGAAAAACAAAAACAAAAGTTATCATGAAAGCTTGTGTTTATTTCATTCAAACAAAACAGTATCATGATATACAAATGAGAGCCACAAAACTCCCTTCTGTAATAAGAAAACCGCTTCTATACCATATTAATGATTTTACATATGCTCATGATTCACACAAGAGATGTATTTTCTCATTCATCTCCAGATATTTTTAGCAGAAATCATTGGCTGCAGTATAGTTTGAGGGTTTGACCTCTGACCCCTGCGAACACACACAAGAAACGTGCTGCTGATATTTCTGTCTGTGAACAGCACAGTATTCGTCTGTGAATTCATCAGCACATGAGCTGCAGAAACCATTCAGATCATGGCATGCTTTGCTGTTTTATACTTGTTTGCCTTTATTTTATATTATATTCTCATAAACTGGAATATAAATATGCACCATACTGCATCTCTGGGACACTACATGTGTTCTGAATGGTCAATAATCTTCAGATCTTCAGTCAGATCTTTAAGAAGTCGGTGACATTCGCCTGTCCATCTCTGTAAATAAACCTGCTACACTGACCCTACCTCGTGTTTCACAGAGACGCTTGGTCTGAGAGCTTTAGCTGCACTAGGCTTGTTGTCCTACATGTCGTGTTTGTCAGGATGTGTGCGAGCGTTAAAATGCTGATGCTGAATAAATCAGAGAAAAGCACATTGAATTCAGAGTCTCACTCTCACACATGCCTGCACATTCGTTCATTCGCTCGTATTTTAAATAAATGGTTGTATCAGAATATAAGTATCAATACTGATTATCATTACAGCTTGTATTAAGCAGTACTGTGGCATGGCCCAGCGCCGTGTGTCACGAACCGCTGCCGTCATCGCAGGACATGCGAGCGCTCATCTGACATAATCTGAGGCAACAGAGTACAAGATTATTGTGGCTTTTGGCTCGACACAAAGAGCGACGAAGCGTCAGCAAGAGGCTGTTGTGCATAGTGCAGATGTGAAGAAAACGGTGACATGTTCTGTGTCTAGACTTTGTCTTTGTCTAGACTGCAGTGAACTCTACTCAACAATCTCTGTTCTGTTACCCAGCACTGGTTATGCACTGCCTTACTACAGTATGTGTAGTGACCAGAGCTTTATTTTACTGCTCAAGCATCCTGTAATCTGAGGCTTTGATCTAAAGTGATCAGAAACATAATTTAAAACAGAGCTTGTTGCTGCTGCAGATGTAATCAGTGCTCATTTCTGGATTTCTAGAGCTGATCTGCCCATGTTCCCATGCGTTACCCTCTGGAGCGTCTGCGCAGGTCGCGTTCTCCTCTGCAGACTGTGTGATCGCTGCTGCCTCCGCCGAGGGTTCTGGAGCTGGGCTTGGTTCCTCAACCGTGGGCTCTGGAGCCGGAGCTGATTCTGGAGCTGGGCTCGGTTCCACTGCAGCTGGTTCTGGAGACACAGTCAGTTCCTCAGCCGAGGGTTCTGGAGCTGAACTCGGTTCCTCAGCCGAGGTTTCTGGAGCCAGAGCTGATTCTGGAGCTGGGCTCGGTTCCACTGCAGCTGGTTCTGGAGCTGAACCCGGTTCCTCAGCCGAGGGTTCTGGAGCTGAACTCGGTTCCTCAGCCGAGGGTTCTGGAGCCGGAGCTGATTCTGGAGCTGGGCTCGGTTCCACTGCAGCTGGTTCTGGAGACACACTCGGTTCCTCAGCCGAGGGTTCTGGAGCCAGAACTGATTCTGGAGCTGGGCTCGGTTCCACTGCAGCTGGTTCTGGAGACACACTCGGTTCCTCAGCCGAGGGTTCTGGAGCCAGAACTGATTCTGGAGCTGGGCTCGGTTCCACTGCAGCTGGTTCTGGAGACACAGTCGGTTCCTCAGCAGGAGCTGGTTCTGCACTCGGGACAGGCTCAGACACAGTGAGTTCTGGAGCAGGGCTTCGCTCCACTGGACCTGGTTCTTGAGCTGCGGTTGGCTTCGCTTCAGGAGCTGTGTCTGCTTGCTCCAGTGTGGGCTCCGAGCTCGTGTCTGATGGGGCCTCTAGAGCTTCTGTTAGCTCAGCTGGCTTGGGTTCTGGAGTGCTGGTGAGATCTGACGCAGGTTCCACAGCTAGAGAGGGTTCTGCAGGCGTGGAGTCAGTGGGTTCTGAAGCAGTGGGAACATCAGCTGCATCTCTCTCCTCTAGAGGAGCATCACTAGCGCTGACCGCTGTCTGCTCTGCTTCTGAGGCCTCCACCGTCTCGTCCGGTCCGGGACCCAGCTCATCCGGCAGAGTGCTTTGAACTGGCAGCTGCATCTGATCCGAGACGGTCTCGCTGTCTTCTGCTACAAGCCCATTACGAGAGACTGGCAAAAAACACAAGCAGAGAGGAAATAAAGTTTATTTACATGCATTACACATGCAAACATAACTGTCTGTCATCAGAATAAATTATTTCTTTTGGTTTCTCATAAATAAGCTAAAGAGTTCTCCGTCTCCTTGACCTACTCTGTAAATTGTGCCTAAAGCAGTATCTTAAAAGAAATAAGCTCAGGCCATAAGCTGAAGATGCTTCTTAACCAAATTATTCATTTTTTCATCAAACCCCTGAGTAACTATAGACGTGCTTTTCTTCATACAGGCAGCAAAAATCATATCAGAGTTAAATCCATTGTTTGTAGTCTGTACAGCAAAATGCTAAGCACATCCCAGATATTTTTTTTCCCTTGAAAAATGTTTCAGTTTGATTGGAGGATTTTTTAGCATTCTGGTCACGACATGAGTTTATGTCAAGCAGAAGTGCAGCTGTGTGTAATTCACCATCTACACACACACACACACACTCACTCACTCACTCACACACTCACAGAGAGAGACAGACACACACACACTCACTCACTCACTC